GGTGGTGGGGGGGGCCCCCCCCCCCCCCCCAGGGCTGGCTGGGCCCTGCTTCCCTGCCCTCCGGTCTCCAGCTTTGATCCCCTTCGGCTGCTCCTGCCTCGAAGGACAGCAGCCCTTTTGCCTGGTCATCGCTGGGAGAGGTTGGTGGCCTGTTTGCAACAACAGGGTCCTGTTCCCTGGCTGTGCCGCACGCCCTGGCATGCGGTGACCTGCCAACCCATGAGCACGCTGCTGGCGTGGGCATCCCATGCGGGGGCCCGGGGCCAGGACAGGGTACCTGTCTCAGGAGGGGGATGGATGGGATCGGGGCTCCCTGCCCTCCACCCAGACACCCGCGTGTCCTGCAACTTGAGAGGCTCGGCACAGCCTCCACACGCAGATCCCTGGGTGCTCCCTGCGGTGACAGTGCTGGGAGCCCAGGCTAGCAGCCCTGGCTGCTCCGTGCTGTCCCCAGCGCCCTGCTGCAGGAGGTGGGGAAGGAGGATGGGAAGGGAGCAGTTAAAACCCACCTCTTTTGATAAAGGCTCCTGCGGCAGAGGAGCAAACAACTGCTGGCCCGTGCTGACCACGATAGCCAGGCCTGATCCTGCTGGCTGGCACCCACCAGGGGAGAGACGGGAGGATGACGCCAGGGACAGGTGGGCTGAGGATGGGGTGGCGGATCCTGTGCCAGTGTTACAAAGGATGGGCTCAATACACTGACTAAGCAAGGTCAGGTCTAGTCGGTCTTGCCGCAGGGGCTGGGGAAAGTAGGACTTGCCCTAGCTGGACACCACATCTCGTCCCTTACAACCTCATTTTCTACTTTCCCCTTTTTCCCGTTGCCTGCTGGGGAGCTAAACCATCTGAGGCCTTTGCCAGCTGAGGGCTCACAGGCAGGAAGAGGTTGGGGCTAGAGTTTATACCCGCCTGGCTCAAGATCTGCAAGAGCACCAGCTCCCTGGTTCGAGGGACTTGCTCACCCTCACTGCTTTGGAAACCTCCATTGCCAGCAGGCTGCTGCATGGACTACGTGCTTTTGAGGGGGACTGAGGGCTCCCTTAAGTGGGGGGAGTTTTTTTAACCTTACCCTAGATGATACAAAACTTCAAGGTACAGGAAAATCATCCTTCACTCAGCCAGAGTAGTGCCTGATTTGGAGGCACTGGGGCCGTGTCCAAAGACTCCCTGCTCCTATTTTTCCTTTTTCTCAGTCACTCCTTTTCTGTCTCCTGGCTGGTTGGTATGTCTTGCGCCTCAGCCACAGTTTGCAGGTCCTGGGGGAGCGTGGTCAGCATGGCCCTCATTGGGAAAAGCCAGAGAGATGTCCAGGGAGACACAGCTGCTGCCTCCCGCCTCTCTTGGTGTCAGAAACAGCCAACACCCAGTGGACATCTCTGACCCTTCCGTGCTTTGCATGACTAAGCCAGATACAGTGCAGTGGGCTAAGGAGGCAAGACAGCTACCTGGAGAACCTGGCCACCCCAGGGCCACTCTTGTGTTGGCTGATGGCTTCTCGGCATTGTCCTGGTGCAACAGCAGTGTCGTGTGTGAGCGCTGCCGGGGCTTCAGCTCTCGCTGCACTCACAGTGAGCAAGCTGGTTATGAAAGAAGGGTTGTACCACGTGAATTGAGTCCTCTGCACCTCCTGGTGCCACGGTGCTGCTGTCAGCTCCAGCTCGAGGGTTCAAGGAGTGGGGAGGGTGCCCATCGTCAGACCGCGGCGATCTGGGCTGCCTCTGCCCAGGGAGGTTTCGCTCAGGGCCTCTGAGTCTTGATTCAGGCTGGAGGAGTTCTCCAGGTCCTCGGCGTCTTTCTTCTCACTATTCCTCACGGCAGCCTCCAGGGCTTTCTGCTTGCGGTAGAAATGGGAAAACTTGTTGAAGATGATGGTGATGGGCAACGCCACGACCAGGATCCCACCCAAAATGCAGCCCGAGGCTGCCAGCTTGCCAGCCACAGTGACGGGCACCACATCACCGTATCCTACGGTCGTCATGCTGACTGTCCCCCACCACCAGCAGGCTGGGATGGTGTCGAAGCCGACGTCTTCCTCCTTCTCTGCGGTGTAGGCCACGCCAGAGAAGACAGACACCCCCACAGCCAAGTAGAGCAGCAGGATCCCCACTTCCCTGTAGCTGTGCTGAAAGGCAAAGCAGAGGGACGGTGAGCAGGGGCCATCACGCCACCATTGGGGCCAGGAAACCAGGCTGCCGCAGCACAAATGTAAAGCAGCCCTCCCTAAACACCTCCATGGTTCCCTGATGGTCCCTTGGGCCTTTGTGCACTTCTGCCTGAGGATCCTCTTTCCCAACCCGGCATCCCACAGCACCGTACCATTGACTGCCACACTCCTGTCTGTCCTGGGACAGAAAGGGGAATGTGGAGGGGGGACGTAGAGCTGGGGCGAGCAGGGAGTTTGATGGCAAAAGCAGGGGCTCATTGCAGACATCTGCAGAAAGCAGTGCGGTGTCCCCAGCCATCTCCTGAGCTGGCGCCACTCTCCTCCTCTGCTGAGAGGGCCCCAGGCTGTCCCATCCCCAGAGTGCTGGGGTATACTGCTTTTGGGGTCTCTCTGGGTCTCTGTGCACCAGCACCATTGGTGACCTCCACCGTAGGATGCATCCGGCCACTGTGCGGGGCAGCTTCTTGTGTCCGGCACCCACAGACTGGCGTGGAGCTGGGAGGTGGCCTCGTGTCATCCTCATGCCCTTCCTTGCCCTGATCATGTCCACCTAAGACATGGGCATCCCCAGGGAGGGCCGCAATCGATTCGCCCCTTGCAGATCGATACCTGCCACTTGCCCATCGCGCTGCGGGGAACACGCGCGCGGGAGAGCAGGGCAGAGCTGGGGTGGGAAGCAGGGGATGCCCCCGGTGGTGGAGGAGGAGAAGAGACAGAGCCTTCATCTGAGAAGTCTGGTGGTCCTCGTGCTGGGCTCTGACCCGTCCCGTTGTGCCCTCGCACAGGCTGCAGCCTGCAGGGCTGGCTGCAGAGTGGGAGCCCATCGCGCTGCGGGGAACACGCGCGCGGGAGAGCAGGGCAGAGCTGGGGTGGGAAGCAGGGGATGCCCCCGGTGGTGGAGGAGGAGAAGAGACAGAGCCTTCATCTGAGAAGTCTGGTGGTCCTCGTGCTGGGCTCTGACCCGTCCCGTTGTGCCCTCGCACAGGCTGCAGCCTGCAGGGCTGGCTGCAGAGTGGGACCGAGGAGCCTCTGCCCTGGCCCAGCCCGGCCACCTGGCAGGGGCAACTCACCGGAGGGGGAGAGCGGCCCCAACCACACGCGTGCAGCAAGGGCCACCCAGCAGCTGCCTGTTCGTAGGCAGGGAGCGCGCGACACATCGGAAGGGATGGTGGTGCAGAGATAGCACGTGCAAGTCACACTGCAGCGTGGCACAGACGGGCGAGAAACATGCTGAGACAGGGCCAGGTGGAGCAGCACGGGGACCCCTCCGCGGAGGGACCCTCGCGCTGACCCAGCGGACACGTGTGACCCACACCTGGAGCGCGTGGGATGGCCCCCACAATCTGCCTTTCCCTCTCACCTCCTCCTAGCAGCCTTTTCCCCACCCTCTTTACGCAGCCCGCGAGGAAGAGACAGTCCCGGGAGGGGAAGGCGACCTGGGCTTCCCAGCAAAGCTTCTCAGCGCAGGCACCGTTCCCCTGGCCTCCAGCGCTGCCTCTAACCTGATCTTGGCTAATAACGTTTAGACACATTTTCCTTTTATCTTGGCAGGTCCCCAGAAATTATCTAATAGGCAGCCTCTAAGTGAAGTGATTTGTATCTCCTCAAGCCGCCAGCGATGTGTGAGCACGGAGAGGATGCGCGTCCTTGCTGCAAGCTCAGCTCGAGCTGTAACCTGTGTTTTAGCCCAAAGTCCCCTGCTGTCCCCACAAGGCCCCTGCTTGCTTGCCCAAGGGCTGCTCAGCTCGGCTCCTGTTGAGGTTTTGTCCGGGCTGAGCCATGCTGCTCCACGGGGAAGGCAGCCAAGTGCCCAGAACAGCCCGTACTGGGTAACTATCTATCAGTCCCCATAGCCAGGGACCATCTAACCCTGACCCCTCCAGGATCCTGCCTTAACAGGTCCCCTGGTTTGGCTGCAGATGCCAGAGGACTTCGAGCAGCTCAGAGCTAAGGAGAACCCAGCACTGCTGCATATCCAGGCGCCCTGGGTGGACTTGCTGCTCCGTGAGCGGGCAGGGAGACGTGTGCTTTGCTGGAGAGCTGGGCTGCTGGCATGGCCCCATGCCTGCCATCCTGCCCTCTGCCCTGCCCTGGCCAGGAGCCAGCCGGAGGCTGGGACTGCAGCCAGCAGCCCTCTGTCCTTCGCCCCGGGGCCCATGGGTGCAGGAGCAGCCAAGCCAGCTGCAGTGGTGTCTGCTGCCAGCCCCTTTCCAAGCTTTCGGCACTCCAGGGTGCAGTGTCCTTGGCCCACTGGTGGCCTCACCTCACAGGTATGAGCACCCGCAGCAGGAAACCCCCAGAGCTGGGCCAGATCCTCTCCAGATCACTTTGAACACGGCCCCCTGCTCCCCTCTATACGTGGGATGCTCTTCAGACCAGCTCTTTCCTGGCTCTGCTCAGCCCCCACGCCATGGCTTCAGTGCCCTTTTTCTGTATTCAAGCACTATGTGGGTTTTTAATTGCTAGCATTTCTTTGTTAGCTTTAGAAAGGGGCTGAGCACACACATATCGCTGGGGTTATCTGTCCATTAGGCTGGTCGAGGGCTGCCTTCCCTTGCAGAGAGATGGGAGGAAGCACAGTCATGTCATCTCCCACCTGCTCATTCAAGATTTCTCTCTCCTACTCAGCTGTGTGCCAGGGAGGGATGCCACTGTGGCCTCAGCAAAAATGTCTCCCAAATGCACAGAGCAGGTCCAGCAACAGCGCCATGCGATTCAAACCCTGGCCAGTTGGCCAAGAGCACCAGAGCATGTCCCCGGAGCATCAATCCCATGGGGTGCCAGTGGCCACCCCATCTACGTCTCCTAATCTGAGCTGCACAGGAAAAGGCTTGAGTAAACTCTCAGTTCCCTGCTTCTGATGTGGGAAACTGCCAGCCAGAAATCCTCATTGTCTCTCCCTTGATGTTCCCTGTCCTGCAAGTGTCTTTGCTCCGGGAACTAGGCAGGTGCTGACCCCAGACTGGCTCTTTCCCAGCCACCTCCCCTCCTGTTGCTCACCCTGGCTAGGGGCTGCTGCAACATGCTGCGGCTGGGCTGGGGCTGCACAAGCCCTTCTGGCCCCTTGTGCCTGTCTGCCCAGGTCCAGCCCGGATTTCTCCCAGCCCGGAGCCGCCACCTGCACCCTGATGAGCTCCATGAGAGATCACCAGTGGGCGGCCGAAGAAGGATGGACCGGTTGATCCACAATGAATGGTGAGCGAGCAGGGGGTTGTTCCTGCGGGGAGAGTTTGTTTTCTGGTGGAAACTGCTGTTTCAGAGATAATTACATTTCCCTTCACGTTTTGTTGCTTCTCCGTGGGACACTCAGAGCAAAACACACTGTTCCACCTCAGAGCTAACCTGAATCGAAGCAGCCCTGGTCATCAAATCAGTCTGAAATGCTCTGCTCTGGGACCTGTTCAGCATCAGCCTGGGGCTGCTGAGCTGCAGCTGGGCCTCAGCACCGCATCTCTGCTGGGTGCTACATGCCCTGGGTTCATGGTCGTGTGCCTGTTCCACAAAGCCCAACTCCAAGGGGCTCCAGAAGGCCAGACACCGGGGGAGAGGGAGCCTGGGTGGACTACGAGATACCCAAACCGCACCTCCCACCAGGAGCATAGATCCGGCAAAGGCCGAGGCAGGACAGATACATGTCAAAATGTGCTGTGACGCTCCTTCAAGAGTCCATGGCTCCTGTTTTCAAACTCAGATATTTTTGTTGCAATTTTTCTTTTGATATTTTTCATTTTTGAGCAGAACATAAACAAATGCCAAAAGATTGTGGTGAAAAAAGTTACGGGCAAATAGAGAGCAGGCAGCAGGTGAAGGTAGGAAGGTGATTGATGGAAGACAAGTTCGGACTGGTCAAACCATCATAGGCCAGCTCTGGCAATGGGGCCAAAATGAGCACCCAAATCCTATCCCCGCCACACGTCCTGCTAGATGTGTGCCAAGAGCTCCACGGTGCAGCAGAGATTGGAACGGGTTAAAATCAAAATGATGCCAAAGTGATAGATAAACCAATGATTACTGAGCCCAGAAAAGTTCAGAGAGACAGAGAGATGGGGGAGGCAGTGAGGAGGGCTGTGAAGCCAAAGGAGATGATGGGACAGATGCTGGAGGAGAAATCCTGCCTGGCTGAATGCCCTGGAGGCCAGCTGCTGTCTTGAAAAGCGAGTAGGTCTACCCTAGCAGCCCAGGACTGGCAGTAACTGTTTGGTGTAGTATCATGGGAGGAGGAACCAGACTGCACAGGCAGGAGCACTAAGCAGAGGGAGCTGGGGTTTCATGTAGCCAAGTGTTTGCTGGTTATATCCTTCCTATTGGCTTTCTTGGAGGGTATGTCTCCCAAGACACGTCCCATGTGGGACTGGGAGCAGAGTTACGGGCAACCACCAAGTAAACCCTACCTGAAAGCATGCTCTTAAAGCCTTGCACATCGAGAGGAGCATCTACCATAGTGCAGGGGGGACTGCAAGCCCTCATATTTTCTAGCCCCCACATTTTCAGACTAGCCATCAGCAAGTGCTAAAGGCATCCAACACCTGCTGATCAGGTGTGAGCTGATGTGTCAGGATTTCCACCTGGGAATGATCCTGTTGCCATTCAGTCATTTTATTTTTTGATTGTTGCAAAGGAATTTCTTGGATGTTTTTGTGCAGTGATCGGCCTACTTGTGTTTCTCTTTTGGGGTAGGGAAATCGGAGCTCTGATTTCGGTCTCCTAACAGCCAAAGAACACTTTATGGGATACCATATGACCAGATGAAACAGCATTTGAGAAAAGCAAACAGTGAAAGACGTGGGAAAAGAACTTCCATGGTCAAGACAAGAAATAAAAGATGTGAATTTGCATTAGGGAGCATGAAATAATCTCCTCCTCCTCCACCATTGCCGGTGGCTGCAAATGCCCTATAGCAATTCCAAATGAGGTCCTCAGGGAGGACAGCCAGCTCAAAGTCACTGAGTTACTGAGTTTCGAGTATGTATCAGTTGGCCATGAAAGACTTACTGCTGGCTGGAGCTTAAGCACATCTATAGGTCCCAGCCTGGGAGCAGCAGAGTCAGATAACCGTATGCATTTTTAAAGAGCATCCATTACGTCCCTGGGATGTGTTGGAGGGTGAAGGGGAGGAGGAAGTTAAGCAGCTCGATAGCTCCTACCGCTCTCATTTACAAACAGGGGCAGCGCTCATGGCACATGAGAGGCTTCAGGAATCTCGTGGATGATCTTCAGACACTGGGTGCTGCCTATTTGCAGCCATTTATCCTCAGACTGTGTGATTTTCTCATTGATCCAGAGGTAGGAAGCCGCAACCTGGATCATGCACAGGCTCCTTCCCGCCATGGAGAGGACAAGACATTTTTCCTCCCATACGGTAGAAGAAAAATGCAATGAAGGGGCCCAGCGTGAGCCCTAGGGTGCTGGCCAGAGATAACAGGTTGGGGACCAAGCATGGAGATGGCAGGAGGACCCCACTCTGGGGTGGCCGTTGCTGATGCAGCTAAGGCAGGGTGACACATCTGCTGTCCGGAGATGTGCAGTTCCGGCTCTGCCAATCTATTTGTGCATTTAGGCCCCTGCAAGGGGGCAGATAGCAACTTCTGTAGATCTCTGTGGGAACCTAAATTACTCAATGCCTAACACCTATTGCCTGCCAGTGGGAGACAGGCATCAAACCTGTACCTGGGAAGTATAATAGCTATAATAGATGACAGTGCACAGCAGGGGAGAAGAAGAGAGAGCAGCACTGAGCCAGCAGCCCCACGAGGCTGGAAGCTGGAGCAGGAGTTGGGGTAGAAGAGGGGCAGCGGGTGTCCAGGAAGCAATGTGGCTGGATGTGTTTTGCAGCAAATCCATCCCTGGGGCTGCTTGTCCTCTGACGGGACTGTTGGGATGCATGAGAAGACTCTCATCAAATTGAATAGATCCTGGATCAGACCCTAGGCAATCTGAAGACCATTCAGAATTTACGATGCGCAAATGGCAGAAATCCCTCTGCTAGCATCTTCGTAGCAGGGGAACGATTACTCCACTTGCCACAGACCTCGCTCTCACTTCCTGGCTGTTAACAGGCTTTATTCCTCCACTGCTGCTTTATGCTCTTGCAGTAGGAAGTAAATTATGATTAACAAGATGTTGTAATTTATGCGCCTAGTAAATCACAACGCCAAGCTGCTGCGTCAGATTTGTGTCTTCGCTCATTCCCATTTACAGCTGGCTCTGGAGTCCCCGAGAAGCGGCACTTGTATCACGTCACTCGCTGAATAGCGGCTCAGCAAAAGCCAAAGCCAGGACACTTCTGGGTCCCCAGACCTCGGCTGCTGCTTAATAACTTACAAGTGAGCCCGTCAGTCGCTGCCCTACTGCAATGTGCCACCCATGCTTAAACGGAGCATAGAAAGGGTGCAGGGAGCCCTTCCTACATGTACAAATTTATTTACATTTTGCAAGCAGTTTTTCATGGGCCTACCATTTGCTAAATGCTCTTCCAAGGTGGATTTTCAGAAAGAAGTATGATGCAGCTAGGACTTCAGGCTTTTTCCTTTTCAAATAATCCTCCCTGGCCCATACTTGCAGCAGGCTTTGAGAACACTGGGAGCTTTCCCCGCCTTTCCTGATGCCCTGTAGGATTTCCAGAGTAAGTGCTGGCCTGAGCTGGCCCTGCTTCACAGCAGAAGTCAGCAGAAGACCTCTCCTGCTGCCTGTCCTCCCCCTAGCCATACCCACAGGTTGTCCCAGTGGCTCACCCATGAGACCTGGTCTAGCCCTGACAGTCGAGTCCTGCTGACCCCAGGACATCCCTTGCTGGCTTGAGCACCATGCCGCCACAGCAGCAGGAAACGGGATATTACCAGCTGTGGCCGGACCCACTTCCAGCTGGTGAAGTTCACAGGAACAAGTGAATCTGGGGATATCCATGGTGCACACTGTGGTGTTGGCATGCCAAGCGCCTGCTGGCTAGCTCGAGCCCTACTCAGCAGGTAGCTCACAAATGAGCTGGGCACTGACCTGCTTCTGGTGGGGAATCACCATCCACCCTGCGCACCAAGTCCGTTCCAGCACCACGCCACGGCACCAGCACGCCGTGGCAGGGAAAGGGGGCTTGCGTCCCTGGCGGCACAAGTCCTGCATGAGGCAAGTCTGCAAGCAGCGATGCGAATTCCTGCTTGCTCTGAGTCTGAGCATAAAGAAGGCTTATGCAGTACTCCTCACGCTAGATTGCTTTAGCACACACAAACCATCAGCCCAGCCCGCTACCCCCAGCAAGCTCACCAGATACCATCCAGAGCTTGTGGCTCAGTGGCAACAGGTATCTCCACATCCCCCTACCATCCCAGAGGTCTCCTTCTCGCCTAGAACACTATAGGAGTAGATAAGGAGATAGAGAGCCAATTTACCTTCAAGGTGGCCCCCAGTGACCTCAGTCCAGTGGAGTGCCGAGCAAGCTTCAGCACCCGGAATATCCGCATGAGCCGAAACACCTGCACAACCTTGCCCAGGTTGCCCAGCTCCGAGTCACTACCCATGGTCACGTCCACCAAGAGGGTGAAGTAGAACGGCAGCACAGAGACAATGTCAATCAGGTTCAGCGGGTGCTTGAAGAATTTCCTGGGGTTGGGTGAGAGCAGGAGGCGGGAAGACACTTCGAAAGTGAACCAGGAGATGCAGAAGTACTCCAGTTTGTGCAGGACGGGTTCATCTAGCACGTTGCCATTCTCGTCCACCTCCTGGTACTCAGGCATGCTGTGGATGCACATGGTCGCTATGGAAACCAGCACCACGCTGATGGACACAAAGCTGAAGAGTTTGCTGGGGATGGAGTAGCCAGGGTTCTCCATGGTGAGCCAGAGGCGTTTGCGCACGTTGCCACAGCGCAGCGTGCTGTAGCGCAGCAGGTCGTGGTTGATATCGGATATCTCATCAGGGGATGTGTCCACACTGCTGACCTCGCTCTCCTCATCCCAGTTGTGGTGCCGGCTTTCCAGCTTGCGCTCGTGGTAGCGGTAGCTGCAACAGGAATCCAGGAAGAACTCGTTGATGCCCCAGTACTCGATCTCCTGGCAGAAGGAGAAGACACACAACTCCTCCATGACGTGCAGCTTCCCTGTCTGGTAGAAGTGAAGCACGTAAAGGAAGAAGCCTGGGTTTCGGTCGAAATAGAACTCCCTGGCGCTCACGTCGTAGTCATCGCAGAGCTGCAGGATGGACTCCTCCGAGTCACAGGAGAGCAAGCGCCCCAGGCGGGTGTCAGGGAACTTAGAGAGGGCGCTAGAGCTGAGCCTTCTTCTCAGACCCCCTACATTGATGTTGATAACGTCCTCCTCAAAGTTGGGACCCCAGTAATTTAAGGTCTTGTTGACCATGATCAGCAGAGCGGGTGCTGGTTCCACCTGCGGACAACACACAGCAGAGCTGGAGGGCCTCACACCTCCGGCACTCCCCTTGCACTGGCCACAGCTATGCTGCTAGGGAAAGCCAGGGCCAAAACCTCCCGGGGGAAGGGAGGGGATTTTGTTTGCATTTTGAGAAGTGAGGACTGGGGAGAAGGGAGGGGAGAGAAGCAGCTGTGGGCGTTTTGTTCTTTGTTACAAAAAGAAAAAAAAAGAAAGATTTTTCCAGGTCAAATTTTCCCTGCCTTTTTTAACTCCTAAACTTTCTTCCTTTGCAGACCACTAATATCCTAAGAAAGGCTGTTTATTGCACCTTCAGCATTTTCTCTACAGGGCTTTCCTTGTTCGAATGGGTAATTAGTCGCTGGAGAGAGGATTTATCTCCCAAAGAACCTGCCCCATGGAACAAATAGATCTTGTGCTGCTTGTCAAATCTGCCAAAGAGTTTCGTAGCCTACCTACCTAGGTTGCTAATTAGACCTGGTGAAAAGGTCCTAGGTGGTACCATCTACCCATCAGCAACGGCAGTTTTGCCAAATCAAAGTGTTTTCACAGAAGGTGTCAGTTTTAGGGAGAATTTCAGAGGAAGAAGTGTTAAAACACTTCATCTGGCTGCTTTGTTTCATCTTGTGTGCTTTATCACGTAAAATACTAAGATTATTTTTACAGTATTGAAACATAACAAAACCATGATTCAGACTCATTGACTGAATTAATAAATTGTACATTAGTAGGGAAGACAAAAGTCAAAGTTTTGATTTCTTGCCTGTTTCAGGTTTTTAAAAGTTTCAGGACACTGGAATTTTCCGTGCAGCACAAATTCCATTTTCCAATGTGAAATAATCATAGCATGAAACAAAGAAAAGTATTTACGCATCTTAAAACACATTTACCCATCTCAACCGCAGATTTAAAAGAAAAAGGCAAATACTCCCTGGGAGTACTGGGGAGCCGGGCACCCACGACAGGTTCCCGACAGTTTTTGGCAGCGGTGAGCGCGCTCCCTCGGGAAGCGCGGGCTGCTCCCGTAGCTGCCCCTGCCCCTCGGGTGCGCTTTGTCGTCGGAAGGGCTGCTGCATTGCTCTCTCAGTCCAGGAATTACATTTTTCCCCATACATCAGCTACTTTGGAAAAAGGAAAAAACGCTGTTGCATTGCTTTCACTTGGCGCTTCCAGAGTCACTGTTACTAATGACACGAATTCGCACACGCTGACACTTTTTTTAGCGGTCATTAAGGTGTTTGCACCCTCCAGACTAGCCCGGCTCCATTCTCAAAGGCTTCCTGCCGGTTTTAATGAGCCAGCTTCTTATCAGAGAAACCCTTCACCTCCCCATCTTGTGGCACCGGCTGAAGTTTCCCAACTTTCAGGTGACAGAAGCAGTAGGAACAGGGAGAAAAGGCTGCAATAACCGCAGTGGCGGTGCCGAGGTCGTGTCCGACAGACACCAGCGCCCGAGACCGGCCCTGGTCCCCATGCCACAGACTGACGTCCCCGCTGTGCACACTGTCGCTCGGAAAAATCCCGATTCCCTTGGGCGCCCGTTGCTCCCCGGCTCCGCTACCCTGGGGAGCATCGCTCACCGGACACCCGACGGCATTTATGGGGCAAACGCCGAAGCGGGGAAAGGGTCTACGTGTTTCCCCGCGGCCTGTGAAGCGCAGCACAAAAGCTTTGTCCGACTGGCAGGGACCAGGGGGACATTTTCCCGTGTAAATCTGGAGGTCAGCGCTGAGCTTGAGAGGAACGGATGTTGGAGCGATGGCTGGAAACAAACCCCAGAGGGCTGTTTTTATGCTGAGCAGGGCTGCGGGTGCAGCCAATGCCAGATTCGTGAGAAATAGCCTGGCAAAGGCATCCGCTAACTCCACCGCATCTCAGAGCGACGGCTCCTTAAAGGAACAGGCTTTGCGCTATAAAGCAAGCGCTTCACCTTACTCCCTGTCTGGAGGAGGCAATGGTTTGGTGAGAAGCCTCAGAGCTTAATGGACTCATTGTCTCTCTTTGCAAAAGGAAGAAAAAAGGCTCAACCTTGTTAATGCTTAAGACAAAAGCATAGGGGCAAAGGGGGGAGGGGGGAGCACTCCTTTTCAGGGATAAAAGGGAATTTCTGTGACAGATTATCTTTGCCAGGGAAGACATCCACACAGCCCATCTGTGGGGCTGGGATGACTAATCCAGGTTCCTTCCAGAAGGAGCTTGTGCATTCGCGCGACAAACACGCCCGGGACGCGTGGGGGCTGAGTGTGGGATCCCGCACGGCCCATCGCGGCAGCCCTCGGCCTCCCGCCGCACAAGCGCAGAGCACCAGGAGCCTGGGCAAAAAATGGCACCAAAATCATCGGAAACACTTTGGGGAGCCGGCGCTCGGGCTCGGTGCAAGCTAGGTGGTTACGGGGGCCGCGCTGGCACGGCTGGGGCGGAGGCCGAGGCAGGGGCCCTTCCCCGGCGTCCCTTTCCTGCATCGTGGCGGGTGACGCGTGTGTCGTCCTGACCGCCGGGAGAGAGCCTTCTCCTACCTGTCTGCCACGGGAGATGCAAAGGGGGAGTTAGGAATCTGCAAGCCTTTGTGCCACCGGGAAATCCCTCCTTCCTGCGCAGAAAGCGGAGGGAGGAGAAGGGTTGCGAACTGTCTGAGATTCTCCCTTCTGACGCTCGTTTTTGAATAGAGCAAATTATTTCTGCCCACATGTAGCTTTCATCCGAAAAGCTAAAGCAGCAATTAGCAGTTTGATAGCTCTTTTTTGCCTACTCTTGTCATGAATAGCTAAATTCACCTTTAAAACAAAACTGAGGCGTGAACCTTTAAGACCTGGCATGATCTCCACTGTCGGACTCTCAAAGCATGCCCCTGACTTACATTTGCAGGAATATCTGGTGGAAAACAGAAGCTTACTCTGGAAAGGCTGGGATTTTTTTTTTTAAAAAGCACAATGGACAGAGAATACAAATGTGTCTGTCTGGAGCAATGTGAATTTGCAGAATTTCCCGTTAGTTTAAAAAAAAAAATCCTTCCTTTAGTCACCAAAACCCTGGAATTCTTGGTTTCCTTTAGTCACCAAAAATCTCCATAAAATATTGGGGAAAGAAAAACAGATAATGCCAATCTGATAAATGTTGACATATATTGTTAGCTATTTTAAGGAAACACCCATCAGAATTACACAAGTTCAGTGTGAACCGGGTGTTGGGCTCTCAAATGATTATGTATCTTGTGGAGAAAAAAATCTCTGATCTATGCATCTATGACAGTAAAAAAATATAAAAACAGATCAAGCATATCTGTAAGAAATGCTAGAAGAGTTTCCCTTGACAACGTATTTTTTTTTAAAGGCTTTAAAATGGAAGTTATGTATATTTATTCTAACTGGCAGAGGGGACCCAAGGGAGTGGGAAGGAAGATGCTAATAGACATTCGAGTGAGGATGCAGCAAGTGCAGGGAGTAATGCACACAGGGGCTTTTCCAATCAGGTACAATGGATTTAGATTAACAGTTCAAATAAAAAGCCCTGTACTTACAGCTCAGCGAGGCTTCCCAGCTGGGAGTCGTGCGACTTCTCTCAAAGGAGCCTTTAGAAATGGGGAGGGAAGGAGGAAACCCTTCCTCCTCTGCCTGTAGCCCCCTGGTGCACTGGGCTTGTGGCCCGGCACGTTGCAGGCGTGCACGGGTGGTGGTTGCAAACTGCTGGAGAAAGTCCTGCCTAGGGTACCCACGGGGCTGCAGTGGGGATGAGGGTCCCCCACTGGGTGCCAGGCAGGGGGAGTGGGGCTGGCTGATGTCCCAGCTCATGCAGGGGATGGCATCCCCCTCGGCCATGTGCTGGGGCAGCTGGAGCGGGACTGGGGAGATGCTTCCTTTGCTGTCATACAAAAGTGCCACTGCAGAGTCACATCCCTATTGCTGTGCATCCCTGAGCCTAAGTGCTTATTGACTAGAGGACGCTCAGGACCAAGTCCTTCCTTTGGGGATGGGGGGGATTTGCCTGGTGGGGAGCTTGGAAGCAGTCTTTCTGCTGCTGGCTGCTCTCTGCAGCCAGAGCATTGCTGCTGCCGTACACAAAGATGCCCACCAGTGCCCGGGGCTGCGGATGCCCCTTGCTCCCTTCGGGGTGCAGGCTGGGGGTGCTGCCAGCTGCTCGGGTGTCTGTGCCAAGCAGGCAGCCCAGCAAATGCAGCAAATGATGTCCTGCCCTGTGCCAGCCTCCTGCTCCCAGGTCCCTGCAGTGGGTGCACAGCTCTCCGGAGGGGACCCCCCAGCCCCTGCTCTGCCCTCGGGCCCTCCCTGGGGGGGGAGGGGGGGCGGCCCCCATTGGGGGAAGACGGGCAGAGAGGGGATCCCTACACCTGCCTATAGAGAGGCCAGCAGGAGCATCCCTGCTCCCTGCTCATCCCGGGCTGCTGCTGGCCCATTTGCTGCTCATCCCAGCACGCCACTGCTCCGGGTCCCTGCTCACCCTGGGCTGCTGCTGCCGTGGGTACCTGCTGCACCCCAGGATGCCGATCCCTGCCCTGCCACTGCCCCAGCACCTGGGAATGCCAGTCCCTGCAATGCCCCTGGATGGTGCTGCCCCAGTCCCTGCTGTGCCCCGGGTTGCCGGTCTCTGTAGCACCCTGGGCTGCCAGTGCCCTGGTGCTCCGGGACGCCAGTTCCTGTAACACCTCGGGGTGCCGCTGCCCCGGTGCTCCAGGATGCTGATCCCTGCCCAGGGATGCTGCTACCCTGGTGCTCCGGGATGCTGGTCCCTGCCCAGGGATGCTGCTACCCTGGTGCTCTGGGATGCTGGTCCCTGCCCAGGGATGCTGCTGCCC